TTTTCCACCTGCTAGGCATATTGATGTACGGTTCTCACTTCTCCATGTGCCATCTACTTGCCCATGGATCCAACATGATCCAACCACCAAACCGGTTGTGTCTGAACCCTGCAAAGCCTCCAGTACGTCCTGAAGGTCATGTCCCATGTCTGGCTTCGAAAATCCCAAGCTTGGGTCCAGAAACCGCCTCACCGAGAAAAAGACACCCCAAAACGTATTATAATCATATTATAATATCTTTATAACTCACGTATAAGTTGTGTTTTTTGTGAGCTTGATTTTTCAACTGAAGACTTCTGATTTCAGACCAAAGGCTGGCAGAAAGGCCGTTTTTCCCGCAGGTCCAAACTGTTTGGTCCTCCCCAACATGGAGACTCCGATCCAAATAGACCGACCTTGTCGTTGGAGATCCTCCAGCAGCGCCAAAGCCAGGTCCCAAGGCCTCAAAAAAGACATCACACTGGACACCACTGGATGGGCGTTGTGAACCTGGTGAGGGAGAAACAGAAATCAGAAATTGAAGAAGGTACCAGTCAAACAATCTTTAAACACCAATGCTTATTTTGATCGTTTTTGATCATGGTAACAACGACTCTACGACGTTTGTCCAACTTGTGTTCATGTGGGTGGGCTGAGCGGATCACCCACCTCTTCTAACGACGTCCAGCCCACTGGGACTCTTGGTAGACAGAACGAGACACGTACAGTGGTCCTTTTCGTCACCCGCTCAGGCTCATCCAGAGCTTCTGGTTTGGACTGCGACAGTTTGGTTCAACGACTTGGCTTCAATCTATATACCCCCTTGGCGAGTAGACCAAACCGGTGGGATGCTGGCTCTTCTTCAGGTCGCCATTGGTCACAGCCACGCCAAATCGCAGGACATTTTCAATTTCAATACCCACCCGTTTTACATCACTGTTTCGAAATGCGCATATAGTTAGTCTTGGGGGTGATTCATGCCATGTCTATGTTGTTTATGAGAATTTATGAGAAGGTACTTCCATCGGCTTTCTCCCTGGCAGTAGCCCATATCATTCAACATTTCAGATTGCTAGGCCGCTTCTGGCAAATCAAATTCGGTTGCCCACCACCAATCATGCAGCTCACGTCAAATATCTGCAGCAAGAGTCAAGACTGCCGCTGTCCCTATCTCGATGTCTCTGGAACAGTCCCAAATCCTTCTCACAAAATTTAACAAAGGCTTCCATGGTACAATTCCAAAGACTCCATGAGAGGCTTCCATGAGACGCACGAGACTTCATGTCGAACATTTGGACAGCTCTTCTCGCATCTCTGACAACATGTTGGCATTAAATGTGACATGGAGAGACATCTGTTCAGCCATCTCCAAGCAATCATATTTGGATATCAGTACCAGTCCAACCTCCCCACCACTTGCTGAACTGACCGCCGAAGATGGCTTCAACTTCAACCCAAACCACCAATTTGACCGCACAACAACATCCATTCCAAGAGCTGCTGTTGACTGAGCTTCCCAACCCATGCTCGCAGGCCGCAATTGCCTCAAGGCACACCACTTTTTCCAGTGGCCACACGAACTAAATATCTAGAAACATGGATTTTGATGGATTCCACCGAATACATCAATGGGCCGTGCAGGTACATGGTCGGCTGAGGCACAAAAAGTGGCCCACAGGTGGACTGGGACTCGTCTTGAACTTCTGCCTCACCGAGTTCCGTCGGGCCCCCAACGGTGTTGTAGGAGATGATGCTGGGATAGAAGATGCTATGAAACATCTCCTGGCTCTTTCATTCTCTTTCCAAGCCACGAGCCGAATGATGTGACTGAAGCAAAAATGATTCCCCTTTCACGGGCATTGCTATGTATTGCTGCTGTTCTTGTATTCCAGCTAATATTGCCGATTAGGAAGACCTGAGTGTCGTCTTTCAGGTTCCAAAGGTGGTTCCAGTCGAACATCGACTCGACTCGCTTCGCCGATTCCAAGCTTCGCTTGTTTGGTGTCACCCAAGCTCAAACTTGCCTTCAAACATTCGTGCAGCTCGAGCAGAGTTATTTTGGCAACATGACGTTGTTTCAATTACATTGCGACTTTAGGTAATTAGATCACTGGGTTGAGTACAAGCTACATAAGGCCTAATGATTACCTAATGATCCCAATGCTGAATGTTTGCCAAGACGTGCGTTCGTCAACGGCAATGATAAGTCATGCTGGGTCATTTTCTTCCAACACCTTGCTGGTAGCCAGTCCAAGTCTTAAGCACTCCCTGAAGGGAGTTAATGGGGACCGACGTATTGAGATGAGCTAAACATGCCAGCTGGACATTGAACAACGTCAGGCACTTCTGCCAGTGCTGGCCCTGGCAGCTCGGAAAGTCAAGTAACTTAGCAGTTGGAACCTGGTGGACTGGTGAACGATTCCTTCGATAAAGCTGGATGATTTGTGGCACTGCACTGTACCCACAGTATTGGGGATCAATCTCCTTTATGTTCAGAAAAAGCATCTTCGCAGCCAAGAACATGACAAACAAGAACTAAGTAGTGCGATTTGAAGGATCAAAAGACTAAGGACAAAGGCTAAGGACCCCGACCTGTGTGTCTTTGAGTTTGCCAAGAGCACTCAAGAGCTCTATATACAGTACATCTAACTGCTGAGGAGAGTTGCTGGTTGACATCCTAGCGATTCTAGTGCCCTATGAAGTCAAGAAATGTCAAAAACAACTACAGTATTAATTATATATGTATATATGTCAGGACCTTTCCTTTGTCGCGCTGAGTCCCGAGACCTTCTAGTTCCTTGAGGAAGATCGGACATTTTATTGGAATACCCTGTTTTATCCTGCTTTAACATGTTACTGTTTACTTTCTTTGGCTTGTTTTACCTTTTTACTCATTCAACCAGGGGCGACTTGGTGCTTTGAGGCAAAGGCATACTGACGTTGTTGGAGCAAGTTCAATTGCGATGGCTCGGCGAATGCTGTTCGTTCGCATACCTCTCCACGTCCTGGGTTTTGCTGCGAAGTCGGAAGACACATTTCCGTACCACACAGAACCGGCTCCAAAACACATCCAACATACGTAGCATCCAACATTCTCTCCAAGTTCTCCCTGAGTCATCCCGGCTCCCGAGTTCTCCCTGACCCGAGCACAGGCATCCATGGTCGCGTTGTAGGTCACAACATCAGGCCTGCCGAGACCCGCATGCTCGGGTGGGGAGTTTTGCTCTCTTCGGAATGGGACTATTCACTGAACATGACATATCATCTGAACCGCAAGGGTTGTTTTTGGTGACCATCAACTAACAACCTAGGTCTGATGGATTCTGATGGTATAGGCTTCTCAGATTTGCACTACGCAACTCAGGTTCTATGTTCAATGGTTGTTCAATTTGCATGGTTTTCATTGATGACTAAGACAAGCATGAATGGGTGCAATTGCGAGATATATAAGTCTTGAGCAAGCATGTTCATTGTTCAAACATATGCCCTCCATGGGAACCAATATGAGCACAAACTGTCTGACATTCGAGGCACAACCAAGACCAGGCTTCATCCAGAGTGACAATCTATGGAATCTATGGATAGGATATATATATAATTTATAGTACATCACATACCCTACAAGTACTCCAAACTAAGCTATGATGAATGGGAGCTCCCGTATGACACATGACGGAAAGAAAACACGGTGGCAAGAAACCAGGTTGCAAGTCATGCTAAATCCACACTTCTTGCAGCGGTATTGATGAACATCCCAGCAAAGAGTGGTATTCTAGGGCCTTTTCGTCAACAACGTGAAATCCCGTGTCCTTTTGCAATGAGGAAGGTTATTTGTAAGGACACCTCTATATATTTTGATCAAGCTCCCTTGGATCAAACTCCGTGACCTCTGACCTGACCAGTCTCATGCTACAAACTGCTCCCTTTCCCCATGGGCCGCCAATCCACTCACCCTCAGCGCTGTACCTCATCTCGTCTAGCAATGCCAGCGCCCACTGCCATTGCCTCAGCATCTTCTGAAGCTAGTAGTAACAAGTGCCTCGCTACTAGTAACAGGTGCCTTACTAGTAGTAACAAGAAGCTATTAGAAACAAGTGCCTTACTACTAGTAACAGGTGCCTTACTAGTAGTAACAAGAAGCTATTAGAAACAAGTGCTTTACTACTAGTAACAGGTGCCTTACTAGTAGTAACAAGAAGCTACTAGGAACAAGTGCATCGCTACTAGTAACAAGTGCCTTACTACTAGTATCAGATCTTCGGAGCGAACGTGGACACCGCCAGTCGTCCAGCGCTCCATGTGGCGTCGTCCAGGCTCCATGCCCTCCATGGTCCATGGATCCCTCTCGATGCGTCGTCTTGCGGCGTTGGGATCTTTCCTCTCAAAACCTACCTGCACCGTCGTAGCTACCAGCTGTAGAGAGCAAACGCCCCCAAAAAGCCTGAAGGGTCGGCTCTGCAAGGCATTTGATCATCTATCCGCTGTCAAGAAGTGTGTCAAGAAGAATGAGGTGGACTGATGTAAGCGTATCAATATATAATGCTTCACAACATGACATACAGGCACCCCCCACCCCTCAACTGACCTCGCACTTTTCTCGCCGAGGACATTCAGATTCAAAGGTGCTCTTAGAAGATTTGACAGTGGTCGCAAAACCAGACGTGACTGTTGGAAGATTCCTCGACACTCCAGTACCCAGAGCTGGCCTTTGATATGGCTGTTTTTGCATCAGCTTTCCGTAACTTTCGTCCCCCAGCTGCACGGGGGTGCTACTTGACTCCAGTCTCAGGCGATCTGATCATACTTGCTCCTTGTCCACCAACGCCAAGCTGCAAATGCTCGAAATCTGTTTCAGCATCAGCGTGAACTTTTCTGACCAATCTCTGACTTTTGAATGAAGAACCAATCAGCGATTCTTCGTTGATGATACAGACTTTGCGGAACCACAACGGCTGCAAGAGCAGGATTTACCCACATTCGCCTCTGTAGTGATATTGTCCATCAATCGACATCATCTAATTTCATATATACTTTGCCTGGGCACATGCCTGGCAGTGGCTGCATTCTATCCAGCTCAAAAACTGCAGCTTTAGTAAGGCATAGGGCATGTTCTTGTTCACATAGGGCATGTGCTTTAAAAGAATAAGATCTGTATGAAAAACAATTGCACTGGATGGCTGCACTTCCTGCTTCTCTTGCTCATCATTAGCCTTTTCTTCTTGGTCAACAGCCGTAGCTCCCCGACCTTGCCCTATCTTGTCTCCTTCACAACGTTCTTTCTCCTGCTCTTCTGCATGATCCTCTTCTTGACGAATCGCATTGAATTGCCTCATGCTTGAGGTCACCAGCCTTGTCTCTGCAGTTGATCAGCTTCATCCTCCTCGCCAAAGCAATCTGAGCGGATCACTCAAGCTACCTTGAAAGGCACATGCACAAGAAATTGTAGCGAGGGTCCTGGGACAGGGCAAGGAATCCAGCAAAGGGTTGAAAAGAATGCACACAGGTCCTCATTGTAGTGGAACAAACTTCCATGACCTTTGGGTTTCTGGCAGTTGAAACTTCCACGTGGAACGTTCCACATACTTCAAGACACCAGGAAGCACGAGTTAACAAGGGCATTACTACTAGTAACATCTAGTAACAGGAAGCTGGTCAAATCTTTCTTCCTCGACCCAAATGGGGTTGCTCACTATAGCTCACTGCCACTCTCTCCTGGCAGTTGGCAGCGCTCAACTCTCATCTCAGGAGTTCAGCGCCGTTCCTGCCTGGGCCAAAGCCCCAACGCTGCCGGGCACAGCTGCTAGATTCCTGGGCTCCAAAACAGGGAGTATTGAACAGGTCCAGCACTCTGTTATATACCCCTCCCGCCCTGTTTCAGGGAGATGACGGCCATCAAGCGATACAGTACCTTCTGTCTTGTCTTGAGCAGTCCATCCACAAATAGTGTCTGAACTATGCAACATGTCAAGAGTGGCTCCTTAAGCCAGTGTCCCTTGTCAAACTTCCCTCGCGGAAGAAGCGGAGCACCAGCAAACCGGACCAGCCATTTCAGCAAACCGACCGGACCGAAGGTCCACAAGGACTCATACGGCTTTAAAACCAAGAATTGCTTCAAAAAACGGACCAAACACCCGTTTCTTGTCACACCACACCACAAAAACCACCCTCCCTCCAGCCTCCACTTCCTGGAACCAGCATCAAGTTCGGACACCTGGCCCCATTCCCGCGTGAAACTCGCCCCTTGCGCCGCAGGCTCCCGTCGCGCTCACAGGCGCCCAGCACGGCCGAGTGGATCACTGCATTGGGCTCCAGGTCCTCCGAACAGGTCGTGGAGGCCAAGTGGCTCCCCAGAATTGACATGGTGACGAGCTTCGCCCACATGCTTTGTTTTTGCTTCTCAAACGTGCAGGGTCAAACATGGTCAAACATATGTTTAAGAATGTTTAAGACTTAAGAGTGTCCCAGGTTAGACATTGATGAGACTCAATAGGTGGTAGGTGGTATAATATGGGCTCAAGCTGGTTGTTTGAATCACTTCATGGGCTTTTCCGGGCTTGAAAACGCCAGAGCGCACTGTTGTATCATGTCCCAGTCATACAATGTCGTACAGGACTGTCTCGTCTTCCCCTGGACCAACAACGAAGAAACAAAGAAAGGCTTGGCTCCTCCGCCACAGCTCTAACCCGACCCAATGAACCAGAGGCCAGCGGCAAGCTTATCCACGAATATACTTACCCCACGTGACTGTGGCAATCCATCCTTTTTGAACACCTGCCCGGTCTTGAGGCCTTCTCACCCGCACGCAACTTCTGGTCCAACAAAAAAGAACACCGACTCCGTCGTCGCCTGCTGCTTCATCCGCTCCAGCAGCTTCAGTGCCAAAGCACTCGGGAAGCGCGCGCCCAGCAGTGCGCCATAGGTGACTTGGTCCACTGCGTCCGCCTCGTGGTTTGGTGCCGTGAACTCCGGTGGACGCCCGGTGGTCTCTGCAATTGCTTTGGCCAATGAAGCCCCAAATGATGTAAGAAGACCAGGACAAACCAGGGGAACATGTAAGAAGAACTGTCTCAGAACATCATGGAAATGCATCCGTTCTTGGGGTGTTCAATCCAAATACAACACTTCAACATTGATTGACGCTGTTGACTGACCGGTCCAACTGCTCTCTGTCTCACCCTTGCCCCGAGCGCGCATTCTTCGGGAGGTGGGAGGTGGTGGATAGATCTGGTGCTGGTGGACCCGAAAGAGCCAAAACAGGTCACAACCATTCTAATCTTCAAACATCATTCTATTGATTCAAGAAGGAAACGGGATTCTTCTCCCTTTCGGACCAACGCGGTGTGGGTGTCCCACCAGCGTCGAGAGTGGTGGACTTGGCAAATGAGGTTTCTTCAAGTCGTAGCACTTCATTGGACTCTAATCTGGACATGTAACAAGAAGCTACTAGGAACAAGTGCATCGCTACTAGTAACAAGTGCCTTACTAGTAGTAACAAGAAGCTACTAGGAACAAGTGCATCGCTACTAGTAACAAGTGCCTTAGTAGTAGTAACAAGAAGCTATTAGAGATTCAGTTTTCTACCTGCTTCAAAGAACTCGAAGAACCGACATTGAGACGGGACTCAAACAGGGGGCAAGTCGTTTCAGGTGAAGGGAACTATTAAATATCAACTTAATTTAGACTGTTAATGAATAATGAAGAACCTTTCTCCCAATATGAGGATGTAAAATGATGCTAAAACCGTAAACCCGCTAAAACCATTCAGGTGGTTTCTTGTTAATCAACAGATCTACATTAAGACTCCAGAAACCGCTTTCAACATCCGACGTCCGAGGCACTGAGTGCAAGACCCTGCTACAGGACTCCAGTAGCCAGCAAAGCGCTTGCCCCCACCTGGTGGAGGATTCATGCTGGATTTCAATGGATTTTATGAACTCATCAAGAGCCCAGCCTCTGTCCGGCACCCAGTGCGGCCAGCCCCAGGTTCAGGGTGACCAAGTCCTTTCGTAGCGTGGCCGCCTGCAACAAGAGCAAATGGCCCAAGGAGCTGCGCCAAGCCTTGGTGTTCCGAGGATCTCACGCAGCCACGCAGCGGAGATCTGCGGAGAAGCGAAGCGATCTCAAAGAGATTCAAAGAGAAAACGGTCCACATGTGAAAACAGTCCACAGCCGTTTTACACAGCTACACTCATGGGGTCCTGTGCACAGCCGGTGCTGTGGATTCTTGACACATCTGGTCCCATTCTTCGAGGTCGGCTAGTGGTGATGACCATCTGCTGCGGGACCTTTTTGGGAGCAAAAAGCTCGTCATGACTCGTCCTACAAGGAGCAAAAAGCACATGGCTGGGATCAGCTCGCCGATGCCGAGATGTCTTCTTGTTCCCTTTTGCTTGTTGGGCCATGCTCAGGAACAAGTCTAGGCCACTTGCACGCCCTGCGTCAAGCCTACGACAGTTCAGGTAGAATCACACACACAGACCAAAGCAAGATATGCCATGGTAAGCACATACCCCACTCCTCCAACCCCCAAGTTGTTACAGTATATTGGTGTATCAACCAGGTTGGAGGGGTTGGAGAATCGATGCAACCAGGTTATACCAGTGTACATTGATCCACTCGATGCAACGAGGTTGGCGCAAAGGCACTTCCTTCAACACGCCGTCCGAGTCCTCGCCAACTCTTTCCTGCCCGGCTTGGCCGAATGGTGGTTGATCATAGCAGTTAGTTGGTTGGTGGGGCATGGTTTCATCTGGTTTCGTGTGGTTTCATCATGTTTCATCAATAGTTGTCTTCTCTTTGTAGAGATCATCTAAATCGGTTGGTGGATGTTGGTGGTGTCTTGCTTATCCAGCTGCCCTCATGTGAATGGATTCCAATGAAGGCTACCAACATAATAATGAATGAGAAGCCACAGTGGCAAGGCAAACCGAATCTACATCTAGAACAATATGACAAGGACAAGTCCCAATCAAACCAACATTGAAGGGGGAATCTCCGAGTACCTACGGTCTCCAAATGCTTGACCGAAAAAATAATGTCTAAAGAAAGCAGTTCGGCGTTGGGTGCTACCAGGTACAAGTAGGGCTTAGCACCCACCAGGCTTGGCCACCTTGGTGGAATGCAGGGCAGCAGTCATCCTCGCATGGAAGGTGGTCACCTGAGCGCATCTCCCGAAGAGCCGTGGAAGTCCATGGCCTTCCACCGTGGAATCCATGGCATGATTTCCGACCAGTTGGGCCTCCCATGCCCAAACAGTGCACTCACTCACAAAGCACTGATTCTCATAAATATGGGATGATCTACTCCATCCCTGACCAAAGATCTTATGAGGAAGCTTGTCCAATGCCAAAAGGGCATTGGCCACAGAAGGCAAACAAGATGGAGAGTCCACAATTTGCATGGACCTCGCTCTTGCAGTTTCAGGGTGCTTTCCAAAGTCCCTTACCATGTGATCGTAAGACACTGCAAGAATAACCTATATAAACAATTCTAGTACCATGTCGCAAAGGCAACCTCCAAAGACGCTGAATGCATCAACTCGTTTGGATTACCCCTCTGCTCCCTCTGCCACATGGCGCCAAGCAACATCTGCATCGGCCTGGTGCGATCTTGAAGAAACAGTCAGGATAGCCAAATTATCGATATGAACCAAAGGTGTTTCTTTCTGCCGTGTAACACACCTGTCCTCATGAAGAAGTTATATATACAGAAGTATGACATCGCTGCGGACACGGCATAGGCATGGTACATCAAACATCAAACAGCTTGGTCAATGCATCATTTGGGTGTTGCCAGAATGGGCATGTCCATGCATGTCCTAAACATTGGTTGTAGTCTCTTTCTTTCAACAAACGGATTTCATGGGTCTCCTCATTTCAACTCGATTCAAGTCATCTGAAATGGCATGCCGACGAAAAGGCTGCAAAGGTGATAGCTATAAAATGGGTAGCTACGTACTTGGGGGCCTCAAGCCAGAATGGCGATCGGTATCCATCTGGCTTATATTTCACTTACGCCTCCTACCTCACCAGCATGCCTGCTAACCTCGCATCTTCCTGCCCCTCCGTCGCCTGGTGCAAGGCCAGCAAGGCCTGTCGCCACTGGCCGCATCTTTGGCACGCGCCGGCGACGGTCAAGGAGCCTGGGCCGGTGCACAGGGTCTGGAGATTCAGCTCGGTGAGTGACATGCTTACAAGCTGGTTGTAGACTGTACCTAGTTAAACAATAGTATCAGTATATAATTGTGTGTTTTTATGTGTAGGATATTGTAGGATTATCTACAGTATAATATGAGTCCTGTGGCGCTCTAGGGTGTCCAACATGTCTTTCCCACCGAGACATTTGGAGCGACGCCCAAACCAACGACAACACCGTGCCTGGAAGGCCTGAATGGATCCGGCTCTCCGACAGTCGTCGCCAGGGGGTGCACCCAGACAGTTGGATGTTGAAGTACGTTGAGAGACCTTGCGGAAGCTGATTATCTTTGGGGGCAAATTCATATTAATTCCGTGGAGTGCATGGTTTTCACACCTTGTCGAATTTTTAGTGCTCCCATATTGTGATGCAACAGTGCCTTTAGAAGTCGGTCAGAAGGGGGCACAGGAAACGGAAAGAGTGCTGACACATTTCTCTCGCTTTTCATGGGTTCCTTGTTTGTTTAAGAAATATGACGGACTGAATGCAGCTCGAGTGAATAAACTCCTGACAATTTGAGGTTGAACCAAGTATTGATGGAAAGACCTTTCTGGCGAAAGGCCATCGGCCATAAAAGAATCCATCCATTTCCTTGAACAAATTGGGGAGGTTTTTCTGGGGCATCTCATGGCATCCCCTGTCTGGTTCGTCACGAGATGATAGGGTACTGTTGCAACATAGGCCACACTCATGCAATCACCATCAAACACCAGTGAAGCTTCTTTGTGAACACTGTACCAGCTGGGACTTGTCCTTGACATCCTTAGCGACCTGCCAAATGGACCAGTAACTCACCAGTGTAGGCGAACTCCGTCTGTGCTGCATGGCCTGCGGCTGCTCCGAGTTGGACCTCTTGGTTTCTTTCCCCCCAAGGCCCTGGTGTCGGAGGTCGCGGATGGAGCGCCGGTGTGCCTTCACTTCCGCCCAATGACCAGCCTCCCGCCTCTCCACGTCCCAAACCACGTGTCTCCCAGCCTCCAAAAGGAGAAGGGCGAAGTCCCATTGTCCACCCAGTGGGCCACAACTCTCCATCGCTGAGTTGAAAGATACCACGTCCGGTGTCACGGCCTGCGAAGCGAGTCGAGTCCGACGAGTGACGACGTGTGACGACAATTTGAACGCCGTGACGGTGGCGTGTCACTGGGGCAGCATGACAGGATTCCAAAGAATTGGCAAGCCTTCCGGAGATTTTGGGGGAATCAACACACTTGGTTGTGTGAGTGTCTCGAACTCAGGGACTCTTCCTTTTCAACTCCCACAATTGGATCATATTGGATCTCTTGGCCTCCACAGTCAGTACATCGCTGTTTGTATCTGTTTGCTATAACTATTGTTATAGAAGTATACCAGCATATACCAGTATACTGTACATACATATACTATATATATATATATGTATTTAGATACCATCCTTTTTCCGGCTATGCATGAAGCATCCTGAAACACTTCTGGGACACGTCCAAGCCATCCTTCAGATCTTCCAAGCCAAGCCTCAAGGAGCTGCAAGGACCAAGACCAAGCCTCGCACGGACCGATGGACGATCCGATCGCGGAAGGATCGAAGAGCCGCATGGTCGGTCCTGGTCGGTCCCGGTCCTGGTCGCGACTTAGTACGACATTCGCCCGCATGAAACATGGATTTCAAGGAACATGTCCAGTCTCTTGCTTTGGGGGAACTGCTCATGGAAAGCAAACCGTTAAACTCGGTCTTCTCTATCAGACTCTATCACAAAAACACATGGACACAACATAGAGTCTCATAGAGTAACACCTAAGCCCACTTCCAAGGCTTGTGCCAAAATCCTTCCACTCGCAGGCTCAGGGCGTTGGTCACGCCTCGCCTTTTTCATGGCAACCAACGCGCAATTGCGTGCCACCGGGCCTGACCTGATTGGCCGCGACGGGCCCGGTTTCGATGGCTTGACGCACCGACAAAACCATCCGTTCGTTGTCTCAACTCGAGATCGTGAGAGTGGGGTTGAGGGATGTGGTGTGCCAGTTCGTGCAATCTCATGAGGGTTGTCGCAGCTTCACTTGCTGAAGAAGCATCCCGTGCACAAATCATGTTTAACCCATTTTAACCCATTCTGGTTGGATGTGAATTCAAACCCCAAACTGCAATGAATCAATTGTGCATTGTAGGTGGACAGGATTGCCAAGTCCAATAGCTCAGTCACAGTGCCAAGCGTCTTTTGCTACTTTGTTGCACGCATTCCAAACCGGCACTGAGCTGCCAAACATCCTGAAGGCGGTCACCCTGGCAAGCAAACGTCACCACTACCTACCAACATCTTCCAGCCACGCCCAGCCCCGATGTCATTGTCTCAACAGCGACCGTGCCGCTCAAGGCTCATGAAAACCAGTCCAGAGGCCAACCGCCATCACCGCCAAAGGCCAACCACCCGAATGGCCAAGCGTCATCCTCTTCGTCACCATCTCCTCGTGCCGTGGAAACCGCGCCAAGGCCATGTTCCAGGCACTGCGAGACGCATCACCCATCCTCGCTGGGACCGTCAGTGCGGTGTGTGGAAGGTGTGTGGTTTGTGTGGTTCTCGTGCTGGATTTTGGGAGTGTGGGGGTTCGTGGACTGAAGATGTGATTCAAGCCTGCACTCAGTCTCAGCCTCAGTCAGCTAGTTTTGCAACAGTTTCGCCACAGTAAGAGTCCAAATAAACATATCATATCATATCATATAACATATTGGCTCCTAGGGTTAACTGTACAGCCCTTCCACATAAATTCGCTCGGTGGACATTTACCACAACAGTCCACTCCTTTCACTGCATCACTTCCACCTCTGTTGTCCCAAGGCCTCAACAAATAAAGAGGCCTAAGCAAACACTAAGCAGTGTGCGTGAACGCAGTGCAGGTAACGATTGGACTGGCAAAATGTGGATCCGGACGACTGGTGGATCAATTGTCTGGGCGAAATCAACCAGAATCGCGTACTGGATGTTCAGGTTCGGGTGTTGATACACACTTCAACTCTGCCTATGAAATTGATTGAACAAACATGAACAAAAAGGAAGGATGTTCAACTCAAAGCCCTGGATTCCTGGAATGGTGGAGTCTTTGTTTTGTCCGATGCCCTCGTCTCCACAGCAGCTCAGCGTCAAGAGCGTGGCGATGTGGACCATGTTGGGCTGGCCAAGCTGTAGGAAGTCCAAAAGCCTTGCGGCAGAAGTCGATCTTGGTTCGACACATTCCCCCTGCACCGAAACAACGAACTCGTGTATTCTAGGTATGAAGAAAACACTCACGAAATAGCACCACAAATTTCAGGCGAGTTGTTGGTTTGTGAAGCATCACCAGCCTATCACCAGCATCAAGATGCATCCAGCCTATATGGCCTACTGCGGTTGGTTTGTCTAACAAGTTCTGCACGTCTTGCCCCTCAAAACCTATGTACAGCAACAGTGGGATGATTGAGCAGTTCGTGGGCGTATAAGAAAAAACATGTACCAACCCAACTTTCTGGATAGAGTATGATAGAGTGGTGTAGTTCAAAAATGGATGGCAAGTAGCTACTTTGCGTGAACTTACACGGTCAGGGGTCCCGCCTGGAAGCCCTACGCCAGTGGTCTTCCAAGGCGGTCAAAGCAGAAGTGCCAAGCATCGCGTTGCCTTCCAAGCCTCGGGAGCGGTTCAGGTCGCCCCGCGTCGGCGGGCGGCTTCCCGCGGCGGGTGAAGCGGGTGAAAACACCGAGGGGACTGGAAGATGGACGACTTTCCAAGTGTGGCCTCCAAGTCCGGGGTCAACAAAATACTACATGTCACAGAAACCATGAGACACCTAGACCAAGCAAACACATGCGAAGACAGAATCTCCAAGCAGCTCGAACGCGCTGATTCCTTTACTTTTCGTCGACGGATGGACGCTGATTCCTTTACTCGCACGTTCGGGTGTTCGATCTACCGCGTCACCTCGGTGACCCGAACTTCCCAAAAGAACCGAGGTATCGCGGATTAATTAAACAAATACACACATTATCCATAGCATGTCATGTTGATCTATAAAGAACACCTTACACATCGTATACACCCCTTTACATCAACCAAAAGTCTCCACGGCTCGCCGGTCTATTGTGCCTACCATGTTTTTTTTTTTTCATTTCTCGGACTCGCGGCCTGCGCTGCGCAAGCGCTGTGCCGTTGAAAGCGCCTGACTCGCATGGCGGAGCCGTTGACAGCGACACGGAGCACGACACGGAGATCTGATCTCTGCGGTTGGATGTCCCTGGACTCAGGAGTATACTCTCTACCCAGCTTTGAAACTTGAAAAGTTAACCTCGAATTCAGTGAAGGGGTACAACTGTGTGATTGATAAGGTTTCGTGACTTGGTGGCAATGAAGATTAGGGCTTTACTTCGTTTCTCACCTGGACAAAAAAGATCAAGAGCTGATCTCGGCGACGAAGGTCGTGGGAAGGCTCAAGCTTCTGAAAGGGTCTACATGACGGGTCAAGGCAAGGACACTCGCCAACAGGGGAAACCTGCATACATCTGCATACTATAGAAATCTTGGGATAAGCTTGATGCTTCGTTTCTTGACCAATATTTCTTCCTTCAAGGAGTTGATCTGTTTCCATTGTCATAGCTGGGGCTACCAGTCAAATAGCGATGATTTCCCTCTCACCGCCTCTGCCCAGAGCTTGCCGCGTGCACAAGCGCTCAGCAAGCAAGCACCCGCCACCAGGTCCATGTCCTCGGCACGTGGACGTGGCAACGGAATGGCTTGAAGCAATGGTTTGAGTTTGAAGCAACGGCTTTCTGATGCCATGCCACGCAGGCCACACCTTGTCAACCATTCGGGTGTTGTCAAGACTACGTCAAAACACATCCGAAAACCCAAGCATTCATAGTTTTAAGATGTTTTAAGATGATTTAAGACTGTGTGAGATTTCAACCCTCAAACACCTGAATTAACCAGAATCAACTGCCCAACGAACCATCTGGGCCCACTCCAAAGGTCTTGACCCTATCACAGAAGCACCAATTGGAAGTTGGAAGGAATCACCAATTCAATTTGATCAAGACTTGGAGACGCAAAAGTACCGAAAATAGCGGTAACGGAATCAACTGAGCAAAAATATTCGACTCCTTCTTGGACCAAAATCGCATGTCTGGAGACTGTTGACTTCCGGTGCTTCGTGTCATGCGCATAGCCACTGGGAGTCCATGCTTCTTATCTTGGGATAGGAAAATGATTACCTATGTTGCGTGGTTGGCTCATGCAATGCTATGTGTATGTGTGTGTGATTGTGTGTGTGTGTGTCATGTTCTCACTGTTAGGGCAGTGAAGGAATATGATGCTGGGCCAAGTTCAAAATGCACCCCCATGTAAATCCCAACCTTCCTGGCGATGCTCAACATTTGTATTGGCTTAGTCTTGCACTCTCTGATCCCTGTCCACCCTAGTCGATCCCTGCTCGCCTGTTCTGTATCAAAGCGCAAGGACCTGAATCACTTGGAGTCTGCGATGTCGAAAGATCTTGGTGAGATTGGGCGACAATCAATATAATCAATGAAGCCCCGATTCCGATCTGATTGAAACGCATTCCTTCGTGCAGAGCCTGGGTACTTTCGGTTCTTGACTGGATTGCAGTGACATTCAACCTTCGGTTCCAGATGCCTGAAGCACTGGGATGATGGACATCCAACATCCGGGATGATACCCTGCGCACTCAGTACACCATGGCAAAAATCTGCAAATGGAGGCCGCAGAAAAGCTTGATGATGCATCTTGTTGGGCAGGCAAAATATCTATAGCTGCAAAGCTTGTCCAGCAGAAGCATGCATAACCACCAAATGATACCCTGCGAAGGAAGTCGGTAAGGTACAGGAGCGTCGAAGAACCGTTAATTTGTTTCCGCAGGGTGCTTCTTGCAGGAGAATGCTTAAGGCCCAGGTCATCGGGTCTGACTCAAACTTGCGTCAGATTAGGAGTTAGAGTTAGGACCCCCAAACATCACGTTCGACTTAGGACTCAGGACCCACCAAACATCCCAAGACTGAAACGTTCCAAACTTCCTTGAAGTCTTGATCCTGTTCAGAACCGATAGAACTCGCCCGCAACTTCTCCCAGTGCAAACAGCAACACGATCCGAGCAGGCCTCTGCCACTGGTCCTGCCGCTCCAAAAGCGTACACAAGGCATTCTGCAAGACCAAATCCGCCTGTTGAGCGGACATGTTCCGCGTGGATATCACTGATGACTTTTAAGATCATTTAACGGGCTTACGATGGTTAAGAGGGCTTCTTTTGACGGAGTACAAACACACAAAAGAAACACGATATCACACACACACACACGGAGTACAAACACACAAAAGAAACACGATATCACACACACACACACACACACACACGCACACCACACCTTGAAATACACATGGACGTGCACATCCTTGTCGTTCGGCTGAGTCTTTGACCCCAAACAAGACCACATGGTCCTCACCCCAAAAGTGAGCCCGTTTTGCCCCACGCGCTCTCCTAATGCAGCGTAGCCCATGACTTAGGCTGTTGAGGGTGTCCAATGCATGTGAAGGAATACAAATCTCTGATCTCACTCCGCAGGGTGTTGGGTTCCCATGCAGTGTCTGCAAACCACTTTCTTCCTTGACCCAAAAGCTGCTCGTCTTTCCCACCTGTTGCAACGAGCCAAGGTGAACCTCCAATCTAGAACAAGATGATGGGCCCGATTCGGGCCTCTGCGTAACGAACGGGTATCGGTTCTGGTGAAAGAACTTAACGGCCATGGGGTCACACCGTCATACATGGGCAGAGCGTTTTACTGAAGATCACCATAATGTAACAAACCTTGCACGACCCCAAAGAGCGACTTCTGCCATGCTTTTTCAGTCTGCGTCGCATGTGACTTTGTCGTAGACCGTTTCCTTCAGAGACATTTGGAATCACAAGCTGCTCCGTGTTTTTGTTCTTTTCCCTTTGGCATGAGCGTTCCTGTCCTTTGTATCTCTTCTTGGACATTGTTATGAAGTGATGCATACAGGACGATCATCCTTTTTCGGACGATCGCAACAGCCAAGACGAACCCCGGACCCCGTACTCCCGCACCGTTCCATCCACCGTGGCCGCAGTGAAGAGGGCGAGCCCCAAGCGCCAGTCCACGGCCTGAGAGGTGGGACGAGCCCCAACCAGAAAGAGCCCAAGCGTCTGATCGCTCCTAGTAGTACGGCCAGGAGCCCCTAGTAGCGTCCGATCGCTCCTAGTAGCGATGCCCTTTGCTCCTAGTAGCTTCTGGATCCTGGATTTGAGGTGCATTTGGAATTTCTCAGAAATCGGCCGTGCGGATCCTGGATTTCAGGCTTGAGACCCACACGGATCGGAGTCACCCAAGTTTGTAGATATTGACGGGATCTGAGTCACCCATGACTCAATCCAATCTGTGTCCAACGATGGTCGCTGTGTTTTGTATTGGATTTTAAACTCATTGGATTCTGCAAGCAATAATAGGGTTGTATTCTGCAATTCAATAAAATGGTTGTTTGTATTCCCCAACTTATTTTATTGGATTGCTCAGATTCCTTCCTCGGCTCGGCGTGGAGGAAGAACACGCAATGAGAATCACGATTCTCATTGAGCATCCTTGGGTGTGGTCCAACATCTGTAGCCCTAAACAGGCGGTTGCAAGGGAGACGATCTCAAAAACACATGTCCTTTCATTAATTTATTCATGGTTATATAGTTGGAGATTGCATTATGACAAAATACTTATATAACCGCAGATTGACATCCCAAGGAATCAATCAGATTTATCTCAAATTGGGGGCCATTCAAGCAATATCACAAACTCTTGGCTTCCTGTGATTGGAGCTTAGATTCAGGTTGGCTACCAAACGCGGACCTCAATAGACCGAATTGGCCCGGCCCTTGGCATTGGCAACAAAGTTTTCAGATTGCCTGCCACCCGCAGGCTTCCCCTTCAAAATCTTCATGATTACACTCTTTGCTCTTTGGATTTCATTTGGATACACAAGTTTGCAGGGAAAACCTCCTGCCAACGAGGAAAATGACCACCATCGTGACAAACCCCAGAATTGGGTGAGTGCCAGTGGAGGGAGCAGGAAGACTATTTGTTATATTTAAATAGGGCTATTGGCTATTGGTATGCTCAGCTTCCGTGAGCATTTAAAAGGGAGTCTATGTTTATGTCAATGTTATAACCAAATCCTTTTGGGGGTCTCCAAGTCACTTTGGGTAAGATGAGCGATGAATGAAACTGAAGAGATGGATGAGTCTTCAACATACCCAAACACAGTGTGTCTCCTTGATCCCAATGAGCAGCTTGTCCCAACGTGGCGGAGATCCCCAGGCTGTCGACTTGTAGCGCCCTTCGCCGCCACGTGGCCTTAACAACGTAGAACCAGCAAACACAAGGACTTTGTAGACAGTGAAAGAATGAGGCCTAAGGGTGTGTTTAAAAAATATATAACTGTATATAAATATGTATATAAATATATTAATATTAATATATAACATATATATATATATACAGTAACAGTTTTCCCTGAGTAACTTGAGTAACCCTTGCCAGTTGAAATTAAACCCCTGCAATTTTTACGATCACCAAACAGTCTGCTCCATTGCGTAAGAGGGGCGATAGCGCAGGGATCTATCAGATTGAAGTTCGAAGCAACGGTTCCAGAAAAGTAAGGCGCCAATGAGGTCAATATCGGTGTGTATCCTAATAGGGAGACCTTGGCCCAATGGGTAGACTGGTCTATTTCCCGTCTTCCAGGGGGCCGAACTGGGAGGTCTACTATTTCAATACACCCATATGAGTCATATGAGCTATTGTGGAACACTCATCATCTTTCATGTTCATTGATTGTCTTACCAATCATTGTCTTACATCACCCACACAGCCTTAGGGGCTCCACCCGTCAGATTCGACGATTGTCCCTTGGTCGAGCGGCCAAGACTCTCAAGGAGGCCAACCAGGTCACTCCACCAGCATTGGCCAATGTGTTGCTGGTGATCCTTGGAAGAAGTGACGTGTGTAAGGCACCAAAAGTGCTGCCTTAATGGATTTGGGGGCATAATGAGAAGCATTGATTTTGAGCTATGCAAGGGAGATACACATGCACAAACGCATGTGAAACATGTGAACGATGTCATATGCAACACATACTTAAAAAAAGAAAACAGTGCACCTGGCAACCAGGTGGTCACTCTAAACTGCTCGTTCCGAGCGGAGGAGCTAGCTTCCGATCCCAAAGGCGCACCCATGTCTGTCGTTTTGCGCTCACCCAAATGGGTGGTCGCAATAGCTCGTGTCTGTCCGCGGGAAGCAAAGGGCATCGCTACTCGGAGCAAGTACAACTGCCGCCAAGGCTCAAGTCTCCTTGCAAACCTGTGCGGACTGCCGTGCGGACTGCCGTGCGGCTAGCGCCGTACAGGCCAACACAGTGTGGCACTATAAAAACGTTGTGCGGCTATCAGTGGAGCTATGAAGTCAAGTTACATTGCTATCATTGCCAACATACCGGGGAAGTTCAGTTCTTGGGCTGAGAAACTCATGACCCAGCGCCTGTGTGGGCACCAAACCGATTGGAACCTGGGACTGCTGGGGACTGCAAACTCAAGCTACCATACTCATGTCTTGACCACTGAATTGGAGAAACATGACTCTACATCTCTGAACTGGATACATGCCAGCTCCGTGTCTGCTGTGCCAGGGCCCTCTTGGATCACTCACATCAGGTACCTGTCTACTAGTAGCATTCTTGTTCCTAGTAGTAATGCCAGGAGCTACTATACTAGCTTCTTGCTACTAGTAGCAATACCCTAGCTACTAGTAGCCTTCTTGCTCCTAGTGAGGGGCTTTGAGGAGAGTAGATTCCGACCAAATTCTCTTCGGCGACCTTGTTGCCATTACCATCGACACTTTCTCCGCTTCCCGCGGGTGGTTGGGAACAGGTGGTTGTCTCCCGATTGGTCAACACACATCAACACACCATACCACTGAATGATCCAAACAAAATGAATACATCGATCGATCCGAGGGCCACTACTTAGGGTCTTTGCTTCCCCGGGTGTAGACAGGACCAGACTTGACAGGACCAGTCTTGCCCACTCACGGGACACCAGAAACGAAGCACGAGGGGAACGGCCGACTGACCAGCGAAGCAGGTGGTCGTTGTGGTCTCTCCCAGTGGTCTCATACGGTGTGCCGACTCGGAGACGAAGCAGTTCTCAGTTGACCTAAACGAACCCCCACTCACCCACCACCCGGCAGTGCGTCTGTTCACCCGTGGTTTGGGTGCCAACCTCTGTCCACAAGGGCATTCCAAAGCTGAAAGGCCTGCCTGAGGACACTCGCCACCAATCTTCAAAGTGTCACATGTACGAGTGATGGACAAAATCTCTGGCGACCGAAAAAAACCCTCTTCAAAGTGGTCAGGGAAGATAGCCCCCGGAACCTCTGTCCATTCTGAACCAACCAGGGGCGGGCCAACCCAAACCCTAGATTTGGTCCAATCCTTGGATCCAAACTGACGTCGGGGATGTCCGTCCTGGCATGGCTTTGTACTGCCGCTTCGCGGCCGGAAGCTGCCGAGTCCCCGAGGTCGGGGAGCGACCGATTTACCCTGCCCTGCTTGCCGTCACTTATTTTTTTGGGGGGTGAGATGCATCGGACACCTCTTGGTTTCCGAAAAACACAGTGTATTCACAAACCGTATGATGACTGTGATGGAATATACCATATCTTGTAGGTACCCACGTTTGGTGCATCACCCAAATCCCGGAAAAGTCTGAGACGTGTTGACTTTAAGTCTTTAAGTCCGGCAATGACCATCTGGCAGGTCCTTCTTCATTGAAAAACGAAGCTTCAAGAAGAAACAAATTCAGCAGCTTTGCCAGGTTGTTCTTCTCAGTGAACACCTGGTGATGACCTGAGAACCTCACACTCCTTTGCAATGCTTAGTTTTTCTCACCGCTCTTGCCTCATCAAAGACTCAAAGAGGAAAAACAACACCGAGAACGCGACATCTATTGACCATCGGATGCCCACTGGGAAAAAACAAGCAGGATTTCCACTCGTTTTCCTGGGTGTTTAAACGTAAAATACCCGGGTTTTTCCAACACACCCAAGACATTTTGAAGGGTTTGGGGTGCAAAAAACGGTACACGGTGATACACGGTGCGCCTCCAAAGCGACTTGGGATCTTGCAGAAGAACTCCTTTCGCGGTCGCTTTCGCAGTGGGAGTCTGAGAGTGGCTCCAAACAGGATGTCGTGATCAGCAGGGACCGTCAATCCAATCTCACTGTCAAGGAAAACGTGTACCTTCAACAAGCACGAGTACCTTCAACAATTGAAAACGTGTAGCACCTGAAAGTTTGAGGATACGTAATATCAACTCACACATGCTGCGTCAACTGTGTATATTGACTAGTGATTGACTGACTACGGTCAGCAAGTGCAGCATGGCCGCTTTCTCAGTTTGGCCTCAAACCAAACGGCTACGATCACGGCACCGTGCAATCCACAGGGTGGTGACGGGACAAGCCGTGGGACCGGTGACCGCGCTCGGCCGCGGGTCCTGGTGCTTTGCTTCGGCTCAAGGCGTTCACCGCCGCGTTCACCGCAATGAGGTCCAGGCGCAGCGACTCGTCTTGGGCCCTGAGGGAGGGCGGATGGGTGGATGGGTGGCCGAAAGTGCGAAACTGAGACTTTAGGATGGTTCAGGTTGTTTGGACTGGACCAAGGAGGAAAATCCCAAATAATCATGTGATGTCATTTTTCTCTACAATGAGATTGACACATAGAGTGGTTGTTTGGAGCATTTGGTCGGGAAAATTGGGTGGCTCCACCTGTCTTACCAGACTCAATTAGGTCCACCTGTAGCTTTGCTTCGAAAGAGTCGACCATCCATCCAAGGAAGACTCCAGAATGGCACATGAGATAACATCAATTTCGTTGGCCATGACTGACTATCTCAACTCTTAAGTCCCAATCTTCCAAGGTTAATATAGAGTCTCAATCTTGGTTGTAAATCTTGGTGATTTTCACATACATTACTTTTCGATCTTGGCATGGGTCTCACTACTTTCATATGCATACGAAAAAACGACGAGGAGATGGCACGCAAAGCATTCTCATCAACTTGGATGCTTGATTGAAAACATATAGTTAATCATATATATATATACACATTATACATATTTATAGATACACATATAATATACGAGTACATATTGTATAAAGCTTATAGTTCAATAAAGAATGTGGTGTTGAATCCTCCAAGAAATTCGTGCTGTGACTCTGGCTCCAAGATTCTGCCATAGCAGCGCCAGTGCCTCTTGCCAGTGGCGGCTTTTCCCGAACCTGGGAAGATCTAGTTGGACAGGAAATCACCGCACCAGCCTTGGAACAGTAAGACCGTGGGAGATCCAAGAGTAGGCCCAAGTGTTTATTGACTGGGTCCAAGAGTAGGCAGGCCAACAGTAGTCCAACGAGAGGACGGAGGCAGTGGAGACTGTGAACGAAAAGGACTTCTTAGATCTTTGGGTTCTCAAAAGCATGTCCCGAGTGGCCGCAGCCGGTCTTTCCAGGCTGAATCTCTACTACATAACCTGCTATCGCTCCTGCCAGTCCGTGATAGGAAACAAAGCAACTTCGAATCCTCAAGATGACTTGATCTTCCGACTTGACAAAAGGAGCGATGTTCTCCGATTCAAAACCAACTCTCAGTTGGCACCAGGCATCTGGAACGGAGCGCGAAAGCGACCACTCAAAAGGGATCACACCGACTCAGGACCCTTGTACGTCGACGTACGTCGATTCGGCCGGCGACCGGTTTCTGAAAGAATGGTGACCGTACGACGGTGAGATCTAAACGTATTCCAAGAACCTAAAACAAACTCATATGGTATAATAATGGTTTGCCATGTAGAGGCAAATAATGACAAATGTCAATCATATGTCTACTAGTGACGAGGTGCGTCTGTGTTTGCGTAATGTCACTGTGAATTCTGCTAACCAGGAAACCGACCATGCTCCTGCTGAGGATTTGATCCACGGATTTGACCCACGATCACATACGATCACGGCTAAACTCGGCTGGCGCACTCCCTGTGTGCAGCTCAGGTGGCTGACATAGATACCGTGTGAGCTCCTTCAAGGACTCTTGGGGCTCCTTCCCACGTCCAACGTTGTTCACGTCGGATGCGAGATGGTCACAAGGTCGTCGACGGCCCGGACGTCCCGGTGTGGTCCAACATTCTGATTTTTTCTCCGCTTCTTGTTACTCGTAGTAAGAATGCTCCTAGTAGCGATGCCAGGAGCCCCTGGTAGCTTCTTGTTACTAGTGGTCAATAGTGGTCACATGTGGTAACACCTACGGGGGTTCTTACGGTAGCGGTTCAGGACGGGTGTCTGATTGGAGGTTCGTGCCAAGTTCGTGCCCTAAAAGGACTGACGGAAGCGCGGAGTCGTTCCGTCGCGAAGCGAAAACATGATCCGAGGATTGGGGCCTAAGTGAACAAAGCCTATTCTCAACAACAGCAAAGGGCATCGCTACTAGGAGCAAAGGACGCTACTAGGGGCTCCTGGCCTTACTACAAGGAGCAAGGACGCTACTAGGGGCTCTTGGCCTTACTACTAGGAACAAGAAGCTATATATACATATTATTCTGCTCTTCAGATTGGTTTCTTGATTTGATTTGTTTATGGCTTTTTGTACTATTCTCCGCAAAGTTTGAACGGCTCTAACTTCCTGAATCAGTTGATTCTCCTGGGTCTCATTTCCCATGTGCATGTGATCAATCAAACTGGTCACTCTGACGTTCTCCTGAGCTGGCACCCGCTGATGGCCGTGTGCTGCTGCCCCCCACGAAGCCGCTTCGCACATCCATGGCGGTCGGATCGTGGCGACGATTTGAGTGGCGACGATCCTGGGGATGAATCTATCGACCAAAGTTATCACTTTAAATCACAGCTTGCAAAGTGTTTCACAACGTCTTCACCACGCCATGCAGTAGATTTGGGTTCTTTCTAATTATCTTTCAATGTTTAACTTTTGGTTGTGTTCTTTCTTTCTTTCTTTCTTGCCTTTTTTTCTTTATAGTTTGATCCCATGACGTGCAAATCACCTGATGATGAGCTCACCTGCCAACAAAAGGATCTGCAAAAATATGTCAGAATCCAGAGTGGCCCTCAAGTCACCCAATCGTTCAAAGTATCTCGCAGTTGCTCAAAGCTCACCGGGGGTGGTGCTTCCCTTGTCCTGCTACACTTTGTTGAGCTTGGAAAGAGGTTGCATAGTTACATACGACATATCTATTTTAATTGGATCCTCTGCCAGCCAACTGTGACGATGCATCTATACAGCTTTCCTGTCATGATAGCCCACACCTGTTTTGAGCTCAACCTTTTCATGCCAACCTTGCTCAGTCAAACTTGGAATCCTGAAAGATCAAATCGGTAAACAAATCATTTCGATTGGGTCCAGGTGTGTGGAGAAAATCAACATAGCACAGGTCAGAATTCATGAGTGCTAGTAGCCCCTGTCGGAAGAACAAGTATGTAGGAATAATTGTGAGCTTTGTGATCAAGTTCTGCTCCAAAGGAAAAAAGCCGAAGACATCTGAAGACACCTGTTGCGGATGCAGAATGATGATGGATGATGTGATGTTGATGATTCATATGTTTCTCACGGGCCTGAGTGGCTGGGGGAAGGCTACGGGGATTACACCGTAGCCTGCCCGGCTCTGCCTGAGTTCCCTGAGGCCCTTGCTCCCATTTCCCACACGCGCTGACCACACTGTTCAAGGACACCACGTCAAGCCTGACATGTCTTGGATCTTTTCAGGGGGCCATAGCTATGCAACATTAGCCAACCGACTCGAAACTGAGAGAGGCGTGAAGGTATCCGATATGAGCGGGACATACAATTACATCCTGGAGTAGATGAACATCGGACAAAGTCAGAATCAATCAGAACCTCTGGGTATTTGAATTAGTTTTTATCTCCTCTGTCTAACAAAGTTAAAAGAATCGCCCAAGACTGCCTCTCATTGTCCCATCTGCTGTTCAATCCCTATGAAACAACTGTTGAATTCGTTTGAATTCCATTCAAGTACGTGACAGCTCCTTCAACCAAATGAACATATCCATGACAATCGTTTGGGACACTTTGGGATCTCAGCTTTGAATTGCTGGGCATGCATTGGGCATCCTTGCAGTGACGAACGAAACAGCAAAAACGACCAAGCAAAGCACAAGGAAAGCACTTTCAACCCATCTAAAATCTAAAGCCACGTACTTCCTCCAATCCATAGAAACTATATAACCAGGAAACTCAGCCTGAGGACCTGACGTTATCTGCTGCCTGATCGCGTGGGACTGATGCACCACCGATAGGAAGCTAAGGAGTCTGACCAACAATCATTTACACAACGAAAAGGAGTATGTATCTAGTATTAAACCATAAACAGCTAAACAATAACAATAACCATATCTCATGATTAAAACCATCAATAACTAATACAGTTGAACACGAGCATCAGCTCCTATATATGGCCTTGAAAACAACGATGCTAAAGGACGGGACAAAACCCAAGAGGTGGAGAATGGTGGATACTGGAGCTCCATCGAAACCGAAAGAGGCTTGATGCCATTTGTTCCGAACTCATTCTACAATCAAATCCCGAATCTCTGCAAACATGCAAGTTGAAAACGTGTGGCGCGTGAAAAACAAGACCATGTTCCTTTCCAAGATCTTGTGGCGTCCACTTCGTTGCGTGCTGGCAAGATTGAAGACAAAGGTATTAGAGGCTCAGTTCTTCGAGATTTTGCTTTTGTGATGTTTTCTTGAAAGTCTGGCGCCTTGGCCTGGCGGCCCTCCAGGGCCCCTCCAAAGAAAACACCCTGACTGACTCACGACATCACATTCCATGTGGATGGCATGGTTATGCGTCATGCATGACGAAATGGTCTCATGGGTTCATGGCATGGTCTCTTGGAAGACGACGGAATCCTTGTCACAAGAGGGGTGCCATCCACTCCCATGTGATGTGTTCGTGGAAGTCTTTTTGGTTTGATCTCTAGGATGTTCCCACCGTTATGGTGACCGACAGGAATGGCTCCCGCTGGTAATGGACAGGAATAGCTCGTCCGCTCCTTCTTGGTTCGGCCAAATATCAGCAACAACTATCCAACACTGACTTCGCAACTGGCGCAACAGTGAACCCCACTTTGGCCTGCAACACGCATTGCCAGTCCGGTCATGGTTCCACTTCTACAATCTTCAATGTCTGAGGCTGTTCTTCCATAGTGGAAGGACACAGTCAAAAAACGTAAGAACCACAAGATTCTTCGTTGAGGATCTCTGACACACCCCGAAAAAGTAAGATAACACTAGGCCACTGGACGGCTGAGTTTCCAGATGACACAAAACATGGGTCGAAAGGCCGTCAAACGACCAGGGGCGACTCAACCACCGGGTGAAGGACCATGAGCGCCATGAGCCCAGTGGATGATGGATGATGAAGAACCTCACACTCTACTGACACTCTACAACAGGTTTTCAACTGCTGATATCCAAACGCACTGCCGCGGCGACACCAGAATGGCCTGGCTTCCAGGAAGTACTTTAAAGCCAGGTCCCAGCGGCCCCCTTGGTAGGGTCAGTCAATGGATGTGCTTTTTCGATCTTTTTTGATCGTTCAACTACTCCAAGGATGGAAGACCATTTGGCCATACCTCAAGCTAAGTAAGAAGCTAGAGCGGTCCAAGACTCTTTGTTGGTTGTCGTGGCTAGTAATTCGTAAGGAGCTCTGAACGTGTGGCACAATTCTGTTTGGCACCATGGTTGTATTTTACACTGCCACACTGCCACAGCACCTTGCCAGCAAAAAATCAAGGCTGTTCGTTCTCATAATGTTGCTGGCCATCGATTGTAATCTATTCAAAGAACATCCCACAACCCTGTGCTTGGAACAGTTGTGAAGGACACCCACTCTTTTGCCTATGTTTTGCCAGCCTGTGGACCTCGGACCTTGGAGGGTCTTCTCAGCCGCCTATGGAGCCGCGGCTCCCCGCCTCGCTCGCACGCCTGCACCACGGCGGAGCAGGTCACCGCATCCGGCGAAGTCACCTGCGGGACGCGGAGAACCAGATCTGGCAGCTGATCTGGCCGATGTTTCTGCGCTGGGTGGATTCAGCTCTACCCGATGTTGGCCTCTAGGCAGTGTAGCTCCCTCCCAAGTCTTTGAGTGAGTGTAAAGAAGAAAAAAAATCCTTGCACACAACTGGACACGGGAAAGGAAAGGTCACACTTCTTGGAGAAAGGCCTTGTGGTGCACTGGAACATGTGGATACCGTATGGCTCAATTCTGTTCGAAGAATATATATATATACAACTAGAATAACCCCAAGTTCATGGAAATATATACTACTGTATCATACTGTATCTATATTAGAACATAGAATATTACAGTTTCAGTGCACAAGAATAACCTCTTCAGCAGTTTCGACGCCACCAAGCAGGTATGCCCATAGACTGGCACCCCTATGTTCAGGCAAAGGAATGCCGCGGGATTCTCCAAAAACCCACACATACACAATTCGATTGATCATACAAAGTTGAGATGCGCAAACCACACACAGCAACACCTAAACCCTCAACCGAACACCAAAGTCCACAAAAATCCGACGCTTTTTGAAAGGCCCTTCGATCTTCGATCTTCGGACGGGACTCTGAAGCCGTTCGCACCTGGTCTTGGGATTCCCCTCCCCACCTGGTCCATCATCAGAAGCGCCTTTTGCCATCGGTGACCTGCGCGAAAGCCAAAGAGATGCTAAGCGCCAAGGCATGTGACCCAACGATCTGCCGAGACGGTTGCGTATTGAACCGCGAACACCTCATGCTTGTATAGACCCAGGAGTTTTGAGAATTACATGACATATATTTATTATTGGGAAAGGATCCAATTAGATCAGCAGGGAAAGCTGGAAAAAGGGGTAACTAAATTCATGAGAGATCAGCTTCAACCCCCGATGAATGTAGTTGCAATGGCTTTTGATCTGCCTCTGCCCTCGGTTGGGGAGACGCAGCACCATCAAATGTGCCTCTCTGCATGTACATTACCACACAGGCCACAGGGTGAACAATTGTGCCGCTCTGCGAGTTGTCTTGGGGGTCAATTCACCTTGTTCCTAGTAGCTTCTTGCTACTAGTAGCGTCCTTGCTCCTAGTAGTAAGGCCAGGAGCCCCTAGTAGTGTCCTTGCTCCTAGTAGTAAGGCCAGGAGCCGCTGGTAGCGTCCTTGCTCCTAGTAGCGATGCCTTTTGCTCTTAGTAGCTTCTTGCTACTAGTAATGCACTTAGCTACTAGTAGCGTCCTTGCCTAGTAGCAATGCCCTTTGCTCCTAGTAGCTTCTTGGTACTAGTTATGCACGTAGCTACTAGTAGCGTCCTTGCTCCTAGTAGCGATGCCCTTGTTACTAATCGCGATGCCCTTGTGACTAGTAGCGAGGTATATATATATATATATAAGTTGCTTCAAAGGATTGATATCCAAGATCCACAATAGCTCCGATCAGCCTTGGGGTGTCACTAGCTTTACTTGAGAGCCCATCTACTACTAGGTCGAAATTGTTAATTATTCCTTCTTGTCCAACAGAAACGACGACACACACAGAGAGAGACACGGAACATATACTGTATATACAGTAGTGGTGGCTCCGAATTAGACTTGTGGGTTTATGCCTGAAACTCATTCCCTTCATCAGAACAAGCTGCATAGGCGGATTTTAACACAACATAATATACAAAAATAAGAGGGCCTCAAGACCCGTCCACTTGTCTGTTCATTTTGCAATAAAACCTGAAGGTTTCGTGGGCTAGGAAA